CCCCCGGAGCGGGAGGGGCCGTGGCCGCCCACCCCCGCCTCTGCCGGGCCCCCCCAGGTGCTGTTCCCAAGTGCTTCCACCTCTTCCGGTCCAAGGTTGTCCTGCGTTCTGGGGGGGCACTGTCTGCCCCCCTCTGCTGCCTCCCCAGCCTCCCACCCGCTCCTGTGCCCTGGGGGGCAGCCCTAGTGCAGAAGAGGGAACTGGGGTGGGCAGTGGGCTGGCTCACTTCACAGCCCCCCCCAGGCTGGGGACAGGGCCAGGGCGGGCAGGAGGACAGGACAGGCGGACAGAGGGGTTGGACTCAGTGGGTGATGCTCAGGCCATGCCTGGCTGGGGCTTAGACTGGGGCCCTTTGATGTCTGGGAGCCAGTGTCTGAGGGTGTCCCTTTCCTCCCTGTGCCTGGGGTCTCAGGGCACCCCTGCCCCCCTTTTTCACATGAGCCGTGATCTGAGCCGGGACCTGGTTCCAACCAGAAGGTCCTGCTGGGCCTCAGCATCCCCAGGGCACCTGCTTCGTCCCCCCCACCAGTTGGCCCCTTCTGCCCAGTAGGCCACAGAGGGTCCTGTGGGCCCCGGCCCTTACCCCGAGGAGCAAGTGTGGCCTGGGGCCCAGAGGCCACAGGGCTACACAGGCAGGAGGCGGTGGCCTGTGATCGGCTGGGTGTGGCCAGCCCCAGGCCGGTCATGGCCAGCAAGGCCCACATTCCACAGCGGCACGGGACGCTCCGAGAGTCAGGGTCCTGCAGGCAGCACGGGCTGGCTTGGTCGTGGCCGGCCCCACACCCCCCATGCTGCCTGGGTGGGACTGGGCACTCGGGCCTGCGGCATGAGGGGTGGTGGGGAAAGGCCTCCCATGCCAGGACAGATTGCTGGGCACTGCCCAGCAGGGATTAGGGGGCCACTGTCTGCAGTAATGAGTGGGCTCTCCACTTCCAGAGGCCAGTGAACCCACTGGACACCATGTGCAAGCCACATGTCCCATCCCCAGAGGTAGACTGCGGCTTGGCCACCCGCATGGTGTGGGGCCAGCCTGAGGGGTGGCTCCTGAGGGTCAGCAGAGAGCCCTGGGATACCCGGGAGCCTTGGACTTAGTTGGGAGGTTCCGGTGCCGGCAGGACAGCCTGGGTTGAGCTGGGGTGAGCTCTGGGCCTCACCCTGCCACTGGGCTGTACCGCTCCGGGCTCATCCATACTGAAGAGGAAGGGCCCAAAGTGCCTTTTCCAGTTAGCATTGCCCTCATCTTCTCTAGGAGGGACACCAGAGCTCGCCCGTGGGGCCACTGGGGCACCGTCTGCTTCAGTGCCATCGGGGTTTTGTCCACTCATCACCCAGCCTTCACAGAAGGCTAAAGTGCGCTACTATCAAAATGACTGGGTGGGTGGGAATTGGGCACGCCTGTCCAGGGGCTGGATGGTGCTTTCCGTTCCACACGCCTCTGCAACACCCCTCTGCGTGCCCAGTAGTCGGAGGGTCGGTACAAGCATGAGCACATGCCTCTGTCACTGAGTCCAGGTTGCAGATGGCACCGGGCTCATGTCCCAGGGTCTGTGCTCCGGCCATGCAGGGCAGCGGTGCTCACTTGTTTTCTAGCTGCTCCTTTGTGTTTTGGGTTTTTTTTTTTTTTTTTTTTTTTTTTTTTTTTTTTTTTTTGCTTTTTGGGTCACACCTGGCGATGCACAGGGATTACTCCTGGCTCTGTATTCAGGAATTACTCCTGGCGGTGCACAGGGGAACCATATGGGATGCTTGGAATCAAACCCTGGTTGGCCGTGTGCAAGGCAAACGCCTTACCTGTTGTACTATCACTCCAGCCCTTCCTTTGTGCTTTTTGTTTGTTTGACTTTTTGGGTCATACTCGGTGATGCTCAGGGGTTACTCCTGGCTCTGCACTCAGGAATTACTCCTGGCAGTGTTCAGGGGACCAAATGGGATGCTGGGAATCGAACCTGGGTTGGCCACCGCGTGCAAAGAAAACACCTCACCCGTTGTACTATCGCTCCAGCCCCTCCTTTGTGCTTTTTTTTTTTTGACTTTTTGGGTCACACCTGGCGATGCTCAAGGGTTACTCTGGCTCTGCACTCAGAAACTACTCCTGTCGGTGTTGGGGGACCATATGTGATGCCTGGGGTTGAACTTGGGTTCGCTGCATGCAAGACAAAGGCCCTCCCCTGTTCTGTTGCTCCGGTCCCTCCTTTATGCTTTTGCTGCTGGAGATTCAGAGTACTCCTATCCGTCTCCCAGGCCCGTGGAGCAGTGCTCAGGGGCTCCTCTGGGCTTGGTGCTGAGCGTGAGTGCCAGGGATGCACCCAGGCCTCCTTCCTACCAAGTTCATGCTCCAGTTCTTCAGGTGTCTCTCTGCCTTCTGATGGGTGGCGCCGTGTTGTGGCCCGGGTTTCCGATCCTGGTACAGGCACCGCAGACTCCCTGACTTGGTTTCCCTGCTGCTCTGCCTACATTGGTGGGCAGACACAATGCCCAGTGCTGGGCCGCTGTAGAGCATCCCAGTGTGGGCCCAGTTCTGCAGGGACAGGCAGAGCGCACTACTCGCCCCTGCTTTCGTCTCTGAGGGGAACTGCTGGCAGTGCTCAGGGACCTAGGGGTGCCCCCCCCGCCCCCGTGACCAGGCCTGGATAATGATCCGTGTGGTATCAGAACTCCCCCCCAGGAGACCGTGTGAGCTGGGATGTAATGAGGAATATGTCACATGTGCAAGACCAGCGTGAACAGACCAGCTGCCGACTTTTGGGTACCACCTGGTGGTGCTCTGGGGTTCCCGACCCTACTTCAGGGCAGGGCTCATGGTGGTTTTGAGGGCTCACACCTGCACCTCACGCAGGCCTGTTCAGCCCTCTGACCACACCCAGTGATGCTCAGTTCTCACTCCTGGTGGACTTGGGGGAACTTAGAGGGTGCTGGATTTCGAACCTGGGTCACCACATACAGGTAAACACCCTGCCCAGTGAACTATGGCTGGACCCTCACACCTTGACTTTGTTTTGGGTCACACCGGTGAGACTCAGGGGCTCCTCCATGGCGGTGCTCCAGGGAACCTACTGGGTGCTGGGGATCGAACCTAGGTTGGCCAAGTGTAAAGCAAATGCCTTCCACTGTGCTCCAGCCCCTACCACACATCTTGAAAGTTTTGTCTTTTTCAACCACCTCAAGCTACAAAAACCTAACAAGAAGGCTGGGGGTGGGGGATCCTGCTTCATGTGCGGGATCAGTCAGTGCTGAGTGCTGCAGGCACATGGCATCGTGGCCAGCGCCGAGCAAGTCCTCTGAAGGTCACCGGTCACTGTGCTCAGCCCATACAGAGCGTTCGACGGGGCCTGTCCCACGGGACCTGTCCGACGGGGCCCCTGGGGCGAGGCCCTTTGGGCTGGTAAGTGCTGCCACCAGCCCCACTTGCCCCCAGGCTTGGGACCCCAGGCCTGGCCCTTCAGGGTAAGGGGCAGGGAGCGCTGCAGCGGGGTGGGGGCACAGCGGGGCAAGCGACCATTCCCTGCACAGCCGGCACCAGTGCACGTGCACACTGGGGGTCCCCGGAGAGCGCGCTGGCTCTGGGGTCCACCTCACTGAGCAGCCCTGCTTGGGGGGCTCTGGACACGCTGCCCTCTCGGGCCGGGGTCTCGGGATGCGTGGCCGGGCTGGAGCGCGCCGCCACGCCGGGGGCTCCTGGGCGCTGGCCCCCGGCGTTCCCGTGCCGGAGTGCGGGGCTGGGCCCGGGGCCCCTCCGCGGTTCCCCTGGGGGGGGGTCTCGGCTAAGCGCGTGGTGGCCCGAGCCGGCGCCCGCGGCGGTTTCCTGAGCGGGGGCACCGCGTCCGCGGGGTCAGGCCGCGCGACCCGACCGCCCCGGGCTGCCTGCGGTTGTGGGGGCCCGCGTGTGGGTTTGGGGCGGCGGCGGCTGGACGGGCGCCTGCCCAGCCGCGCAGGAAGCGGCCTCGGCCGGAAGGGGGGCCCCGGGCGCCGTCGCCGCCCCCGCGGACGGCCTTCCGGCGGGCGGGCGGACGGGCGGGGCGCCGGGGCCGAGCGCGGCCGAGCGGGACCGAGCGCGGCCGAGCGGGGCCGAGCGCGGCCGAGGCCCGGGCGGGCGGGGGTCGAGCGGGACCCGAGCGGGGCCGAGCGCGGCCGAGCGCGGCCGAGCGGGGCCCGGGCGCGGCCGGGCGCGGCCGAGCGCGGCCGGGCGGAGCCGAGCGGGGCCGAGGCGCGGCAGGGGGGGCGGGACCGAGGCCCCGGCGGACGCGGCCGAGTGCGGCCGAGCGCGGCCGAGCGCGCGTTCCTGGAAGCGCCGCGCCGGGAGGCGGCCGCATTCCAGGCCGGCGCTCGCGTCGAGGCGGCGGCGCGGGGCGGGGCGGCGGCGCGGGGCGGGGCGGCGGCGTGAGCTCAGCGCCGGGCGCTCAGTCCGAGCCGGAGCGAGCCGCCGGGAGGATGTGCGCCGAGCCCCGCGCCGCCGCGGCCGCCGCGCGCTGAGGGCCGCCGCCGAGCGGCGCCTCCCGCCGCCCCCGAGGGCGCGAGGCGGGCGGGCGCGACGAGCCGGGCGGGCGGCGCGCGGTGGGGGGAGCGGGGCGGCGGCGGCGGGGGGCGCGCCGCGCGAGGACGGCCCGGCGGGCCCCGCGGCCCCGCTCCTCCCGGGCGCCTCGGCCTCGGCCGCCGCGGCGATTCGCGCCTCGCGGCGCCGGCACCTGCCCGCGCGCCCCCCGCGAGCCCCGGGCCCGCGAGCGTTGGCGTTGGCGTTGGCGGCGCGCGCCGGGGCATGCCCCGCGCCTAGGGCCCGGGGGGCGCGCGGGGGGCGCGCGGGGGGCCCGGGCGGCGGGCGGGGCACGGGGCGCGTGGATGTGGCGCCGGGCCCGGGCGCCGGCGGGCTCCAGCGGCGGGACCCCTTCGCCCCGCCCGCCTTCGCCTTCGCGGCCGAGGCGGCGGCCGTGATCGGCCGCGGGGAGCCGGCGACGGCGGGCGGTCGGGGCCGGGGCCGCGGGCGGCGGCGGGGCGCGCGGGGCGGCGGCCGCGGGGGCCCGGGCGCGCGGGAGCGGGAGCGGCCCGGGGCGCCCGAGCGCGCCATGGAGGCGGCGGCGGGCGGCCGCGGCGGCTTCCAGCCGCACCCGGGGCTGCAGAAGACGCTGGAGCAGTTCCACCTGAGCTCCATGAGCTCGCTGGGCGGCCCAGCCGCCTTCTCGGCGCGCTGGGCGCAGGAGGCCTACAAGAAGGAGAGCGCGGCCGCCAAGGAGGCGGGCGCGGCCGCGGCGCCGGCGCCCGTGCCCGCCGCCGCCGAGCCGCCGCCCGTGCTGCACCTGCCCGCGCTGCAGCCGCCGCCGCCCGTGCTGCCCGGGCCCTTCTTCATGCCGTCCGACCGCTCCACCGAGCGCTGCGAGACGGTGCTGGAGGGCGAGACCATCTCGTGCTTCGTGGTGGGCGGCGAGAAGCGCCTGTGCCTGCCGCAGATCCTCAACTCGGTGCTGCGCGACTTCTCCCTGCAGCAGATCAACGCCGTGTGTGACGAGCTGCACATCTACTGCTCGCGCTGCACGGCCGACCAGCTGGAGATCCTCAAAGTCATGGGCATCCTGCCCTTCTCGGCGCCGTCCTGCGGCCTCATCACCAAGACGGACGCCGAGCGCCTGTGCAACGCGCTGCTCTACGGCGGCGCCTGCCCGCCACCCTGCAAGAAGGAGCTGGCGGCCGGCCTGGCGCTGGGCCTGGAGCTGAGCGCGCGCAGCCTGCGCGTCTACCACGAGTGCTTCGGCAAGTGCAAGGGGCTGCTGGTACCTGAGCTCTACAGTAGCCCCAGTGCCGCCTGCATCCAGTGCCTCGACTGCCGCCTCCTCTACCCGCCGCACAAGTTCGTGGTGCACTCGCACAAGGCCCTGGAGAACAGGACCTGCCACTGGGGCTTCGACTCGGCCAACTGGCGGGCCTACATCCTGCTGAGCCAGGACTACACGGGCAAGGAGGAGCAGGCGCGCCTGGGCCGCTGTCTGGACGACGTCAAGGAGAAGTTCGACTACGGCAACAAGTACAAGCGGCGGGTTCCGCGGGTGAGTGGCCTGGGGCCTGGGGGGGGGGGGAGTGGCCCGCGGGGGTCGGTCGGGCTCCGGGCCGGCAGCGCGGGCGGGCCGAGCCCTGGCCTTCCGCGGGATGTCCACCACGCCTGCCGCGAAGGGCACTGCCCCGGTCCGGCGGGGTCCCTTGTGTGTGCCGGGAATGCTCGGGGAGACAGCTCGGAGGCAAGGCCAGGTGTCCCACCGGTGGCAGGGGGCCGAGAGTCCGCGACTGTGGGGCTGGGTTCTCCCAGGGCCTTCCCCGGGGCGGGCCGGGGCGCTAGTGGCCGATGGCCTGCGATTTGTTTGGGACGCGCCCTTTCCGGCTCCCTCTCTCGGAAACGCGGGCGGGCGGAGCTGTGACGCCGCCAGCGGGAGCCCCCACCCCCAGGATTTGTAACTTTTAAGTATCCGAGCCTATTAAGCGCCTCAGAGCCTCTCTGGCTCAGCTATTCTTGGGAGGCCTCATTAATTCAGCTATTGCATCAAACTTTTTTTTCTGAATCTGTGAATAGCTGCTCCCGCCCGGCTCTGGGCGCCCCTCCAGCAGCGTGTCAGAGTCTGGGGAGGCGCGCGTGCGTGCGAGGGCGGCCGTGTTGGCGGCTGCGGCCCTGGGCCAGGCCGGCGCCCAGCTGGCAGCTGTCTGCCGCCGGGGAGGGTGGGGGGCGCGGGAAGAAGGGTCTTCCGGACCCCGCGGAGCCTTCCTATTGGGGGCCCTGCCAGGCGGACACCGCGGGTGGGCAGACCCAGTCAGTGCCCCTGAGTCCAGGTCAGTGAGTGTCTGCAGCTCCAGGCCTCGCCCGGCCCTCACCCTGGCCATCAGGAGTCCTGGGCACAGCTGGATGGCCTCTGACGTTCACTCTGGGCTCCCCAGGGCTGGGGGAGTGGCCGCCCTTGCTGGTGGCTGCCTCAGGCCAGGCTGCGGTCTGGGGGTGCATTTCGGTCTCCTCAGCACTGCCGTGGTGCACTTGTCTATCCCCTGCAGGGCAGTATGAGGAGGGGCTTTGAGAGGGGGAGCCCCCACTGGAGAGCCTGATGGGGGCAGGTGCAGAGAGGGGACTCCCCGTTGGGCTCCGGGGGTCTGGCAGAGCAGGCACGGCCAGGCTCCCTCTGGACTGGACCAAGCCCATCTCAGCTGCCACTGGGGCTGTGGGCCCTGAGCCTGGATATCCTGAAAGTGGCCTGTCTTGTGTCTGCGGGGGTAGGTGTCCCCGCTCCCATGGCCGTGCTGCTGCCCTGGCGACCTTGGTGCTGGTCTTCTCTGCCCAGGGCCTGCCTTGGGGGCCGCGCCTGTCCTTCCCGCCACAGGCTGCAGGTGCTTGTGGTGTCCCGGACTAGACTTGTCCTGGTTGGTGGTGGGCTCCCTGGGAAGAGCCCGGGGTCAGCACCCAGCCTCGGGATTCTGGCCTCCTTTCCTGCTTTTCCCAAAGAACCTTCTTTGTGGCCCAGGAAACCAGCACCTTCTCTGTTTGTTGTTTTGGGGCCTCACCCAAACACAGCATTGCCGTACTTGGGGCTGAGTCCTGGGTCTGTGCTTAGGAGTCACTCCCGGAGGGCTTGGGGGACCAGGACCTTATGGGGTCCCAGGTCAGCTGCAGGCAAGGCAAGTACTCTCCCGGCCGTGCTGTGGTCCCAGCGTACCTGCTGTAGGCAGACACCCGACATTGCTGGGCTGACAGTGCCGCCGGGCCAACCCCCTGGTTCCGGTGCCCCAGGGTAGGTCCCTGCTGGCTTGGGAGAGAAAGTGGTCTCTGGCCTTCTGGCCTGGGTTGCTCCTCAGGGTCTGTTCCACCCTCAAGCCCACCCATCCCTGTGGCTGAGGGATGGAGCTCCCCGAACAGCCGGGAGTGCAGGAAGTCTGGGGAAGTGGCCGCCAGGACCAGGCCGCCTGCGGGGACAGCGGGGGAGGTGGCACTTCCGGGGCCGGCGCCCTGGCCGTCTGGCTGGAGGTGTCCGCGACGAGACAGTTACACAAGCACTATAATGTGTCTCTTTCTAAGGATTGCGAAAGCCTGAGCCTGAGGGTTTCTCCACGGGAAGAATTATGCAAGTTTCAACCGAAATGTTGTTTAAGTGTCTTTGTTTTGAGTCAAAATACAGCGGTTGGATTATTTCCTCTGGGTCTGCGAGAAGGGGGCACAGCGAGAAGGGGGCACAGCGTCTCTTCCTGGGCTTAAATGCTTCTTCGTGGCCCCTAGGCCGGGCTGTGGTGTCTGTCAGATGCATTGGTCCTGGGTGCAGATGTGGACGCCGGCCTTGCCGCAGGGAGGATGGGTCCTGATGGCTGCGGCCGTGATGTTCCCGCTCTAGGGGTGCTCCTGCTGGTCAGTGGGGGGCTGCGTGCAGCATGGTCCCCAGCCTGTCTCGCCTCTCCTGATGGCCCTCAGCGTTCACCCGAGCCACGAGGACACTTGCCCACATGGGGCAGCGTCCCTCTTGGGGGGGGCCTCCTGGAACTGACCAGCCTGTCCCGCCCCCTTGGGCCTGGCCACTCAAGCGCCCTCGAGCCGTAGGGACACGTTCTGGGGACTGAGGTTCCCATCTTGCTCCTGCCACCCTGCCCCAGGCCCCTGTCCCCTGTCCCGAGGCTGTGTGGCCCTGCGTGCGGTGGCCCCCACCCTGAACCGTGCATTACCTGTCACTGTTGTCAGAGGTCGCCCGGGGGTCCCACTGCCAAAGGCTGCGTGGGGCTGCTGCAGGGCCAGTGCCCAGGTATCCGTGCAGGACCGGGCGGGCTGGTGCCGTGTCCCTGTATGGGCTCCCGGGGTGAGGTGCCAGGCTGGGCTCTCCCTGTGGCTTCTGTCCCAGGACCTGACCTGCTGTGGGAAATCCCTGGGGTGTTAGCCTGTGGCCACCCCTATGGCCTTAACCACGAAAGCTTTGTGCTTCAAGTCGGGTGATATGCAAATGCAGTCAATTAAGCGAGGGGGTTTTAATTAGCAGTTCAGTTCATGTGTGAAGTGCCTGCCTTAATTACTTGACAGTTTTGTTGTAAATTTGCTAAGTTTTTTTTTGCAGAACTATCAAAACTGTGATTTTTTTTTTTTTTTTTTACATTCTTGTGTGCCGCCATGGCGCCCAGCTCCTGACCCTCCACAGGCTCCCCCCACGGGCCTCTCCCCCCTTTAGAAAGGGCCCAGAGCAGAGAGCGGGGTTGGCCCCGGCTGCAGGGCCCAGTAGGCAGTGGGACAGCGCACAGCAGCTCCTGGGAAGTTGGCGGCTTCCTCCCACCGTGTCCGGCTGGCCGTCTGCAGGTGGCTCCATTTTGCTCCCTTGGGGCCTCGTGGGTCTCCACACGTGGACAGGCGGCTTCTCGCCAGCCTGAGGAGGTGGTGGCAGGCCAGGCGCTCATTGTGTGTGAGGGTCCGTGCTGTCGTGCTCTGTGCCCCTGGGGGGCTGGTCCTGCTGGGCCTTGGGCCTCTGCTTGGACATCCATGTTTTGGGTTTTTGTTTGGTTTGGGGGCGACACCTCGCGGTGCTTGGGGACCATATGGGATGCCAGGTGTGCCTTCCCCTGTGCCGTGGCTCTGTCCACTCCCGGGTGTCTGTGGAGGTGCTGGCTCCCCACCTGGGAGGGCCACCTGCACCACCGACTGTCCCTGACTACCCTCATGGACCAGAACTTCTCGTTTGTGACTGCCACCTGGAGCGGATGGACAGGGAGGGGGCCGCTACCTGCTGGAGTCCCAGCTTGCAGACTGAGCTATCGGAGCCCACCCTGTGTCTCCAGAAGCCCCGCTGCGTGTCTTGCTCGTGTGGGAGAGGATGGGGTCCCCACGACGACGCTCTTGTTTGTACTTCTGTCCTGTCAGGGCCAGGGCTTCCTGGCTGCTGCTCTCCTGCCCAGAGGGGGCCGGATTCGTACAGCAGGGGGACCCTGAGGCTAGGGGGCCCATGCACATGCAACATCTGGGCCCCCGAGGGTGGTTCTTGGCAGGTGCAGGTGGGGGTCTCCCCTTAGCTACAGGGGCCGCGGGTCGTGCCACTGGTTGTTGGCTCTGCAGCCCTCACTTCTCTGTCAGGAGACTGCGGGGACACATGGCCTGGGGCGGCTGTGCCTGTGCTGGGCCCTGGGTATTGACAGGGTGGCCGTGCCCCGGGCGCGGGCCACCCTCAGAGGTAGCATCTCCCCGGCGTGGCGCCAGAGCCAGTGGGCTTCAGGCAGGGGCCACCATGAGCCCGGGCAAACTGTCTGGCCACATCTGCTGTGGGTCTACCCATGCCCACCCTCCGCAGCTGGGTGCCCCGTGCCCTGGGACCGTGGGACTCAGTCCCTCTGCCACCCCGTTCCCTCCCCCCCCACACTCCTTCCCGCCACGGGTCCCTCTGCCTCCCTCTCAGTGCTGTGCCTGCACCTGTGTGGTGGCCCCTCGGGTACTGGGGGGATGGGGACTCTGCTCCATTTTCATCTTTGGGGGGATCCATTTAGGGTGGTGCTCAGGGCTCACCCTGGGTCTGCGCTTTGGGTCACTCCTGGCTGGAACGCAGGAGCAGATACATTGCCTGAGACTGCACATGGGCCAGCAGTTGCCTGTCCACTGTCCTGTCCCTGAGCCTGTCCTGTCCACGTTACTGTCCTGAGTCCCTGTCCACTGTACTTCCTGCCCACTGTCCTCTCCCCTGTCCTGTCCCTGAGCCTCTGTCCACTGTACTTCCTGCCCGCTGGCCTGTCCACTGTTCTGTCCCTGAGCCCTTCCTGTCCCCTGTCCTGTCCCAGGGCCCCTGTCCACTGTACTTCCTGCCCACTGTATGTCCCTGAGCCTCCTCTTCCTCTGGTTGTCCCTGTTTCTGAGTTCAGTGACCTTTCCATTTGTTGGGGTCAGACCTGGTGATGCTCAGGGTGTGCTCCTTGCTCTGTGCTCAAGGGTGACTCCTGGCAGTGCTCGGGGGGTCATGTAGGATGCTGGGGGTGGAACCCAGCTAAGCGTGTGGCACCGTGTCCACTATGCTCTCTCGCAGCCCTTGAGTGGCCTTTCACTTGGGCTTCCAGACACTCC